CATATGATAAGACTGGAGCAATGCAGAGAGTATTAGCATGGCCCGTTTGCAAGAGTGCCACGCAAACCCGTGGAGCATTCCATATTGAGAAAGAAAGAGAGAGAGAAAGAGAGAAAAGAAGAAAGAAAAGAAATGCACTGGGAAGCCTGGCATGGAGGCACACAACTTTAGTCCCAGCGCCCAGGAGGCAGAGGCAGGTGGATCTCTATGAGTTCGAGGCCAGCCTGGTCTACAAACTGAGTTCAGGACAGCCAGGGCTACACAGAGAAACCCTGTCTATAAAAACCAAAATGAAAAGAGAGGGAGAGAGAGAGTGACAGAGAGAAATGCACTGGGCAGCCTTGCTGAAGGGTTGACCTCACTGAAGGGAAAGTGACCTCAGAAGCTGAAAATTGGTGGAATGTGTAAGAACAGAGGCAAGGGAAACTGCAGAGGCCTTGGCTCTAGCCAGTAAAGTCATCTTCAGGGTTGGCCACACCCTGTCCACTACACCTGCATGGGAACTTCCAGGCGGAACCCCGGATGGAGTGACATGGGGGCAGGGAGGGCTGGCCTCCTCCTGCCCTCAGCTCAGCAGAACCCAGAAACACAGAGCACAAGCTCTCTGGTTTGTGCACAGCACCAGGGGACCCGATGCTTCTTCTGTCCTGCATAGGCTTCTGCATGCATGCAGCATGCACACACACAAGCAGGCCCCCGCCACACACACACACACACACACACACTCATAAAAGTAAATAATTTGAAGTCTTGGCCTCAGGAAATGGTTCAATGGATAAAGTGCTCACTGTGAAAACTTGAAGGCTTGAGTTTGAATCCCAGAACCCTGAACAGCCATACACAACATTGTGTGGTGTCTATAAGGATTCCGAAGGCGGAGGCAGCCCGAGCTATCTGAGGCCCTGGAGTGCCAAGTGTTGCAGCAGCTCTGCAGGATGCCAACCACGAAGGTGCTATACCGAGAGCTGAATGGCTTTGGGTTATCCTGACTGGGGTGATGAGGGAACAGAGAAGAGACATATTCACAGGTCCAGGAAATCTGGGATCGGTGCCTTCCAGTGGAGACCACCTTCCAGCAGCAGCCTGAAGGTCAGCAGTTTACTTTATGCCTCGGTCCAGGCAGCGGCACACGGCTGAAAGAGGAGGCGGTGGATGAGCTAATGTTGGTGACGCCAATGTGGGGGAGCAGTCTAGAGCCTCCGTCATCTGGAGGGGCAAGCTGGGCTTGAGAACTTCCGCGGGCACTGGTTAATCATTTGTAGCATTTGTACTTGGACCAGGGCAGGTTTCCCATTCCCCTGAGCCCCACCTGGGGAAGGCTTTGGCATTTCCATGAGCCTGAGGCATTGGGATCCTCGACACGGCTGCCTGTGCTCCTGTCAAAAACATTCACTCAAGACTTCAAAATCATTTATTGTCAGTGTATGTGTGTTATTTAAAATAAAACAGACAGCTGAGCCTGTTGGTGCAGCCCCATAATCCCAGCTACTCAGGAGGCTGAGGCTGAGGCAGGAGGATTGCAAATTCAAGGCCAGCCTGGGCTACATGAGCATATCTCGACTATACTCTGGGAATCCCGAGTATGGACCTAGCCAGTACTTAGTAACTATTGTTCCAAATTTGGCTCAAGGAAGGAAGAAAATAACCTGTCTCAGAGATAAACAGCTGGAAATTGAGACCATGGCACAGTGGGCAAAGTGCCTGCTGAGCAAGAACTGAATGCCCAGCACCCAAGTGTGAAAGGCTGGGTACAGTGGCATATATAACCCAGTGCTAGGGTTGGGAGGAGACTGGAATTCCCAGGGCTTGCATGGCTGCTCAGTCTAGTTGAATTGTAATTGGGGAGCTGCAAACTCAGTAAGAATCCTGTCTTTACAATTATAAATAAAAAATTAAAATTATAAATAAAAAAGGGGCTGGAGAGATGGCTCAGCGGTTAAGAGCACTGTCTGCTCTTTCAGAGGTCCTGAGTGCAATTCCCGTCAACCACATGGTGGCTCACAACCGTCTATACTGGGATCTAGTGCCCTCTTCTGCCCTGTAGATGTACATGCAGATAGAGCACTTACGGACAATAAATAAATAAGTCTTTAAAAATTATAAATAAAAATAAGATGAAGAGGGATAGAGAATCACCAATCATCCACCCCTGGCTTTTGAATAAGCCCCTTAACACACAACCAAACAGACAGGTCTTCAGTCTCAGCTAAAACAAGAGGATCCCAGTTCAAGCCCAGCCTGGGCTACATACTGAGCATAGTTAAGCTTGAGGCTAGCCAGGGCCGCAATGAGATCCTGTCCCCAGAAACAGACAGCAAAACACTAACTGGCAGTTCAGTGTTCTTTCCTTGTCTCAAACATTTTTTTTTCACTTTGTTCTGACCAAGATAAACCTGGTTTTGGAATGACACCGGATTTCTACTGGGTGAGGTGGCACCCGCCTGTGATCCCGGCGCTTTGGAGGTGGAGGCAAGTGGATCTCTGAATTTGAGGCCAACCTGGTCTACAAAGCAAGTTCCAGGCTACACAGAGAAGCCTTGTCTCTGTGACAAACAACAGAGAGAGACGTCAGCACAGAGGTACTGACAATGGTGAAGGGTTAGAACAGTAGCTATCCCAAGTCTGGGCCTGCTCTCCACCTCTTCAAGGAGCGTTTGACCACCTCCCCTGAGCTAGGCCTGAGCTAGTAGCTTGCTCTTGCAAAATAAAACTAAATACAATTTAAAATGCCTTGATATGACCATCTCTTATCATTTTACAAATCCACGTTCCAGGGCTGGCTTTGTGTCAGGGTTAGGGTGGCCGCATGCCTGGGCCTCTATGAGCCTCAGGAAATGGGCTGGCTTTGGCCCACACAGGTGGGCTGAGGCTCAGCATGAGGCTTTAGGCTAGCCTGGAGGTGACAGGGAAGACCTACACACCAGTGGGGCGCCGCTCCACCCGCAGCCAGCCTCTGACTGGCCTACACACCAGAAACCCAGAGGCCAGTCAGAGGC